AATAAAGAAGATGTGAGAGTCTACTTATTATTATGAAAATACAATAAATTATGAAAATACAAGGTGAAGAACATTTAAAAAGCTTTAATTTAGATTTATTAAAAAATTAATGAAAAATATAACCACAATTACTATTACTATACCATAATTGAAAATGAAAAGTTTTTTTTTTTTCATTTTAAATAATTACTTTAATTAAATAAGAAAGTAAAATGCAAACTATAACTTAACTAATAATTATTATAATTAAATTTGATAGTAGAAATAGATGACGGGACGGTGAAAAGGATTGTTGTTAAAAGTAAACGGTCTCACTTGAGTTTTTTTTATTTTCCCTTTTTCTCTCCCACCTAATCAACTAATAAAATTTAGTAAGGTTTTCCTTTTTTTTAACTTTTATTTTATTTTCTTATGTTGACTTTCTCTTTGTAGTGACTTTGTTGCATCTTCTTTGATTATTTATTATTCTCTCATTAAGTGATTTGTTTATTTTACATCTTTTTCTTACCATCAAAGGTAATATTGGTTTAATTTCATTAGTAGTTTCTTATTCTTTTGGTAAAAATAAAATTGACTAAAAAATTTAGTGGTAGTTTGATTTTTTTTTTTTTTTGTGGCTTTTTATGGTGGGTTTTTAAATTTTTGTTTGAAATCTAATGTTGGTTTTGGTTTGATGGAAAGGTATCGTCTAGAAAAGGAGTTTAAGCCAACTATCGTCCCTCTACTTTGATATTTTGTTCATTACCATCCTTGTACTAAGAAAATGTTCATTGTCATCCTTCTACTTCACCTATTGAGTTGATTGTCATCCTTGTACTACTCAAAATAGGTTAATTGTCGTCCTTCATAAGACGTCGTTAGTAACTTGTCACTAACGACGTCCATTTTATTGTTGTCTTTTAACGGTAACAAATTTAGGAGATTATTTTATTTTTTAAGCAATAAGTGTATGACCCACTTTAGCCCATGTCAAATTATAATTTATAATCCCCTTCTCTTTTTCCACTTCGGCCCATCCCATTTGAAACTTCCTCCAATGGTCAACCCATTTTCTATAGAAACCCATTCAACGTTTTCTGTCCCTGTTGGGTTCAACAGGGGGTCTTTATCTTTTTAGCTAACAAATTATATGTCCAAGGGAAGTGAAAAGATTCAAAGAATGAAAATGGAAAGGCACACATGCTCATAAAT